ATTTTAGAATGTCATTCTTGTCTACAATGCATTTAGCGCAGCCGCTGGGATCTAGCTATTCAAATAAGAACATTAAATGGGGTGCGCTGCATGGTTTTAGATTTTCCAGCAATAATATGAGGATGATCGTTTGGCCAGTATTTAATTTTTGGATTTTTTTTTTTAAATATTATTTTTATATACTTTTTTGTTTGGGTACAACTTGTTTTATTTCAAAAATTTTGACTCTACTGACTAGTTTTCAGAATTCATTATAAAAACATATTTTGTACACTTCAACAATTTGTGAGGGATCAATGAAATTTCGTTATAATTTTATTATTTTTGTGATTTTCAGATGGCCCCTGCTCCATGGGCTGAAACCCTACTAATTTTGGAGAGCTGATTTATTTCTGGAATAAAAACCTATACATGTATAGAATAATATGTATAATGTAAAATATAATACGTAAACGTTTTTATAAGTTCTTGGAATCTCTTAAAAAAATCTAAAAAGTTTTCAAAATTGGCTTTTGTTCTTCAAAATTATTAAGAAGGTATAGGAAAAAATTAAAAATATAAACTTTTAGGAAATGTATTTCGAGCCAGTTAGTCTTCTGTTATTTATGCAAGAGATATATTATATTTAAATGCTAGTTAAAAAACAAGTAGTAATATATTTAGATAATTTTGACTTAAAAAGTGTCAGAAGTTCTGACTTAGAACTGTCAAAAAGTGCATTATAGCCTCGATTATAGCGTCAACATAAATTATGAACTGCCTAAAAATTAACTATAACGTTTTGATGAAAAAAAAACTAGGAAAATATATTTTTTTTTTAATTAAAACACGTGCCTCAAGACGATTTAAGTTAATTATAAGTATAATCATGTCTTTTCTGAAAATATGGAATAATAATTTTTTTGAGATTTAAAAATTATTAACAATGAAATAACTTCACCTTGGAGTGAAGAAATCTAGATATTAAAATTACGTTTGTACTAATTTAGTTTTAAAATAAAAATATCAATTTGAATATCTTTTATTTTTTTATTTAATAGACTGGGAAAAATTTTGAATTTAATTTTTTTCTATAGTTATTTCGATTAACTATTTTTTATAAAACTTAACGCATAATAAGTAAAAAAATTCTAACTATAAAACGCCTTTACCAATCTTTATGAAATTTTGTTTAAAAATACTTCAACTTATATCTCAGTTTACGTCTTCGAGGGTTTTTCAAACAAACGTTCTAAAAATAACTTTAAGAGAATTATTTTTTTATGTAAATTAAAAATATGGTGTTAAAGACCGTATTTTTACACCCTAAAAATTTTGTACAAATCAAACGAACAGTAACAAAGATACATCGCTTCAAAGTCGGTAAAAATGACCCCTTTTTGATAAGTTTGCTGAAAAATGGTCATTTTTGTCGACTCGTTTAATTTATACAACATTTTCAGGGTTTACTAATAAAAATTCGGTCACAGGATATTTTTTATTTACTTCAAAAAAATTTCCATCTAAAAATTTTTCTTCGAGCGTTTTTTATTATTAAATAAAAGGGTTTTAAGGATATTTTCTCCAAAAACCCTTGAACACGTAAACTGAGTATTTTTATCCAAAATTTTATAAAGATTTGTAAAGGTGTTTTAGAGTTGAATTTTTTTACTTGTTTGCGTTAATTTTGACGCGCAGTGTATAAAATATAATATTAATAAATTAAAAATGTTTAATTTTTATATCGTTTATTTTAAATATTTTTTGATTTAAAAGAAGAATCGAGCCTTTTCCCGCCGAGAATTTTTCGTTCTCAATGTTTTCGGAAACGGATATATTTGTTTAGATATTAAAAAAGAAAAGATACAAAAATAATATTGACTCAGTCATTCTTTAATGGTTATTTGTGGTAATAAATTTATATTTACACATTTAATTTTCGTAGTTTCTTTAAGAAACTTTCTTGACCCATTACTGGTAATATTCATAAGAAAAAAGTTTTTTGTTTTGAGTGCGTTCCACCTACTTCAAATACCGACAGACTGTCTCAAAAAATGAAAAATAAAAAAGTTTTTCATCTTATGAAGTCAGATACTGTATGTAGCCCAATAAAATAACAAAATTTAAAAAAATTAAAGAAAAAATGTTTTCAGATTTTTTTTTATTTATGACATATTATTCATAACTTATTTATATGAAACTTTTATATTTTTTATTTTACCCTTCTTCCACACCCACAATTATATTTAACTAATAAAAAATAATTCCAAAAATAAATTTCCTAACCAAATACAACACGGAGAAAACTGTTAGGGACAGCTTGGACAATTTGAGAATGAGTGCTTGTTTGTTTAGTTATGATTCCAACACTCTTGCGCTTAAACCCAAAAGTTTGGGAATCATTACTAAACAAACAAAGACTTATTTTTAAAATAGTAAAGCTGTCCCCAATTTACTTGATTTTTATTGGCATAAAGTATGGTTTTTTAATTTTTGAAAGCTGCTAAAACCAGGATTGCAAAAAAAAAAATTGTATTTTTTCCAGACTACTTGCCCAACATGAAGCAGAAATGCCACTTCAAGGCACTCTGGATTTAGAAATAAAATAAAATAAAAAAATATTTGAGCTTTCAAAAATTGACAAATGACATATGTAGGTACGTATTCAAAATTTTATTTTGAATCGAAATATGTAAAAATGCATTAAAAACACTATTTCCGGTCAAACCGGAAGTAACAAAAATATGTTAAATATGTCAAAAATTCTAAATTACACTTCATAAAAGTCACTTCAGTTTCATGACCCTAGATAACATACCAAATTTTTGCGATGATCCACGAATTTACTAGAAAATGGCATTTTCAATAAAAAAAATGAAGTAAAAAAATGTGTCAATAGTCAAAATTTTGACCTGATTTTTTTGCCTTTTTAAGAAAAAACAATTAAAAAAATTGGGTAATTTCACTTAATTGTAACGATCGAAACAGTTTTGGTCAAGTTATCGCAGTTTTTAAGAAAAAATGTAAAAAGGCTCCACACAATTCCAACTTTGATAATTGAATATAAACAATTGAGTTCAATTATCTGTCATTTTAAAGCTAATTTCGTCTTATTTTCTCAAAATATTATTGTATTGTATTTCAATGCATGTAGATACATATATACTCGTATATTAGGGTGGAGCGAAATATGAATATTTTTAAAATTGAAAACGTCTGTATATAGAAAAGTTGTGTATGATAAAAATAAATATTTTCGTAAAAAAAAAATTAATTAATTCCTTCCGCTGCCCCAGAGCTATCCTAAATATAAAAATCATAAAATTCAGAAGGGGGCAAAAAGCGGTTAAAACATTTTTTTTTTGAGCCAAGATTCTTTTAGAGCATAACAAACTTTTCCAAAATTGGGCACATTGATTTTCAAAAAAAAAAACTTAATTGGGTGCCCCCAGTCAATTTTAAAAATATAAATATTTTCATATTTGACACTGACTGGGGGTTCGCATCTTATACGAGGTGTCTTCAGAAAATAACGGAAATTGTTAAATTTCGTGGGTTCAAAGGGTCCGGTTGTCATAAAAAAATGTATTATGTTGGTATACATGCCCCCGAAGTACCTATGATAAAAACGTAAGCTGTTTATTGTTTACTTTGTCTGTGGCAGCCGTTAAGGTTAGACGTGTTTTATGAGCTCGGCGATTTTTCATTCGTTAAAAGAAATGGATCAAAGAATTTGTATCCAATTTTGCTTAAAAAATGAAATAAATAATGTGAAATGTTAACAAAGGCCTATAGTGAGTCTGCTATAAGTAAAACAAGAGTTTACAAGTGGTATAAGAGTTTCCAAGATGGCCGTGACGTTGAAGATGACGAACGCTCCGAACGCACAAGCATATTAACAACCGATAAAAACATGGAAAAAGTGGAAGAAATGGTTATAAACCATCAAAGAAGTCGCTGATGATGTTGGTATATCGATTGGCTCATCCCATGAAATTTTTCAAATGTTTTGGGTATGAAACGCATGGCAGCAAAAGTTGCCAAAAACAATACTGTAATGATGCCCCAGCCTCCATATTCGCCAGACATGCCTCTGTCTGATTTTTTCCTATTCCCAAAAATAAAGAGAACCTTAAAGGGCCGTCGTTTTGCAAGCATAGAAGCGCATCGCTGAAAGAACTAAAAGCTATCCCAAAGATCGAGTTTTAGAAGTGTTTCGGGTATTGGAAGAAGAGCTGGCACATGTGCATAATATCCAATGGGGACTATTTTGAAGGCGACAACATTAATGTAGACGAATAAATAAATATTTGTTTCAAAAAACGAAAATTCCCGATATTTTCTGAACACACCTCGTATATTGATATGTCTTCATGCGCCGAGCCGTAATTTGTACTATAATATAGACAAAATAATGGTAATAGGTAGCATAATAAGGCCTGGATCGTTTGTTAAGGCCAAAGAATTTTTTTTATCTTCTTGGAAAACCATAAAACTATTATAAATTATTTTCTTAATGCATTTAAAGTGCATAACTCATAAATGATTTTTTATATGAATATGTTATATCGACTTTTAAAAAGAAATAGGCTTTATTATTTAATGCTAACATATATGGAACATTTAGTAATATTTTTTATACTGAATTGGTATTAGCTGAGAATTTTTATTTTCTATGTTTACTTTAAAAACCATAACATTTACACTATAATTTTTGAAATGGGCCTTATTATACTATTGGCCTTATTACCCTCTGGAACTTTACATGTAATATACCGATATATTGTAATATAATTAAATAATATTAAAGTTTAAACAATTTGATAAAAATCATTTACACATCCCAAAAACTCGATCCATTGAGCACCCACATCGCAACATTCAAAGACCGGCGAATTCAAACCCGCCGCTTTTATCTCCCGATGCCATTGGCCGTCTTACGCGTTTTCTCCCGCTCCGTCCAATCAAAACCGCGCCGCGACAGCGGTGTTGCGGCCATGGCCGCTCGCGATTTGGAGCTCAGTGCTGCCCGCGATCGGTCATGTTACAGACGCCATATTTCGGCCTATGTTGGTTGCCACATACTAGTGTACAAAACAACGGAGTGCATCACAATTTACATCAGTATCAGCAAAAATATTACGGAAGACTTCTTTGGAATCAACAGTGTTGTTACTTCGCTATCGGTCAAACTGCGCACTCTTATCCTCCGTATGTCGGATTTTGGAATAGCGTCGCTATCTTTCAACCTTCCTTGCACCCTTTTACAATGGAGACAAGGTACATACATCCCCGAACCGTAAAAAAAATTTATCTATATATCTACCAGCAAACACTCCCTGTTCCAAGCCTAGGAAAAACATTTAAAAAGCTTGTGGTAGCATCCAAAATGCATCCACAATATTGCCACAGCAGGATTTCTCTTTCCTCTTAATCGTTCAATCCCTCATATTCTACGCGAACTGCTAGTATCGACCCTGTGACTTTTAAAAGGGTGTGTCGACACCAAACTCTTTTCGTTCTATACACACTCGAATCACGCAAAAATACAAACAAATACATTTAGAACATTATAACCTTGACACAAAGTAAACATAATAATAATGTGTAAAATAACATAAAACCTAAGACTTTGTCTTAGCATAAAACTATGCAATGACTAATAAACAAAACTTCTTGAATATGTATATAAATTAACATTTTTATCATTTTATTTCTTAGTCTAGTACACCAATTCACATTATTTATAACATTATATTTAACTATAGTTACATTTTGCACTCATTTATTTACTTAAGTAATAATTGTAAATATCGAAACATCAATTAATGTAATCAATTAATTCTTAGCTTCTTACATATTTAACGTATTTCTAATTAATTATTATATTAAATTGATTGTAGTGAATATTTTAACCCATGATTCTGCGCAACATAAATCTAAATAATCACAGTTTTGTTGTTACTAAACATTACAAACGGTACTTGAGTCTACTTGCCATTTCATTCATGATTACAATAACGTAGAAATAAAAGTTACTTTCAATTTTATATTGATGGTGGAAAGGAACTTAGGGAAAACGATTAAATTATAATATATTAATATTAATAGTTATAACATTGAATGAATTTAACAATGAATGAAATGGTAATACTTAATCAATATTTAAATTTATAGCTTAAATAGTTTATTAATGTTTTTTTTTGTTACAGGTAATTTTTTTAAGATTCGTTGTGCTACACAACCAAATTGGTAAATATAATTTAATTCCATAGTTAAAAATATATTAGAGTTTTATATTGGTTACATAGAAACAATGTTTTTTTTAATGTAATAAGGAAAAAATTAAATTATTTGTATCTAATTTAAGGAAAAATACTCAAACTTATTGACTTAAATCTTCTGATATAAAATATTAAAATAATAGTTTTAAAAAATATGTTAACAGAGAGACCTAATTAATTGTGTTAAAAGTGTTTTTAATAAATAAAATATGTCGTATTATATGGCTTATGGCGGTAACCTTTTGTCTTAGTAGGTGCCTAGTGACACCTACTTAGGCAAAATGCGAGGCAAAATGTTTCCCTAAACATTAGAAAATTACAATTAAATAACTTGTTTTAAAAATTGTTGTAATCATACGCCAAGGATTATAATTTATTTCAATTAAACCAATCATAATCACATCACTGCCGTCCAGAATATTAAAGATCATAAACAGCGTAGTGGGCTTAAAATATACCACCATACACAATACCCTAACGTAGATCATGGCAAACTATAATTCAGGATTAGGTCTAAATATTGATAAATGGTGGGTTTTATTTGACAAGGCAGTGTTTGCATATATGCATGACGTTTGCAGACAGACCGCAGTGTTGCCAAAACACTAACATCAACATCAGTTTAACCACAATCCACACAACAAGGTCTGTTCTATCTCGTACTAAAAATACAAAAAATCACTGCAACACTGCACAGTTTAACGGCGGCCATTTTTTTGTTTACAATTTTTGTGCTTTGGGTTTGTGCTCTGTTTATACAGATTAATAATCGTTTTAAACGTTGTGTTTCTCATAGTAAGCCTTAAAAGAGGCCTTAAAGTGCTAAGAAGAACCATTTCTATTGTAAAAAATTTATTCTATCAGGGCTGTCATAAAACTGTCAAATGTCAATTTTAAGGTTAAATTATAACCTACAAATTAACCTTTAAATTGTCATTTGACAGCCCTGATAGAATAAGGTATATTTATTATAAAATAGGAGTAAAATGGTTGTCCATAGCACTTAAAGGCCTTATTTGAGGCTTACAAGTGCCCCTGTAAGAAACCCAACATTTAAAACAATTATTAAACAGCACAAGAATTGTAAACAACAAAAATGGCCGCCGTTAAACTCTGTGCAGTGTTGCAGTGATTTTTAGTATTTTTAGCATGAGATAGGATTGTGAGTTTGACATTGTTTGCGTTGTCTCGATGTATAAACCCCTGTATGTTGCTTCATGTTTTAAGGTGTAAAAATAAATTGTCATTGATGTTAGTCTAGAAGGCTTAGATAGAAACGTTCTATAAAGTGTATTATCTAGTGTTCTTGACAAGATAACACATAGGGATATGACAGGTTATGTGTATTAGCACAGTGCTGACAGCACTACACATACAATTCTATACTTAAAACACTGACAATTATCAGAATGTTAAGCGACTAAAGTAGGTAGTATACTTTTTTTTTGGAAAAATAGTATATTCTGTAACAAGTTGGGAATAGAAGTTTGTCGGTTTCACGAGAACGGAATATGCAATTTTAAACGTGTTTCACACTATACTTTATTTACGCTTATGAAAATTACTTTCAAAAAAACAAAAAAGGGTTAATCCCATTTGAAATATGTTCGATTTTATACGACAGGCGAATGATGATTTTAGAATAACCCAATCCGATTCGTCCAAATTATTCTTACACTTAAACTGGTGATAAAATACATATTCTGTAACACCTTATAGAATGTAGGTAATTCCACGATATAAAATGATATTGGAATGGTCATATTTCGTAAACAAACTATATTCTTCTGTACTAAAGTGCATAAAGAGTAAAACCATTGAATTAAAAAGGGCAAGACATCTCATGTTCCCTGCAAAGACTTTAACGTAAATTACATCTATTGGTAAAGTTTCCTGTAGGTATTTGGGTCAGAATTTCTCAAACGGGCCACCTGAATTGGGTCAAAATTAGTTTTTGTTTGTAGATACATTTTTTTGATAGTATTTTACATCCCTAACACAAATCCTAAAGGATTTTGTAAAAAAAAAAATTTCAATTGACATATTCATGATATTAAAAGTCAAAGTTTTTAATAATTAAAAAATAAAAAAATTCATTATGGCTGAACTAATTATCCGATTCCAACGATATAACTAGCGTTGGAATCTTGTTTTGACATAGATTCTTTGTTATTTTTTTCAATTGTACAATTTTCATTTAGGTCGATTTTTTTTTGTTTTTTTTATAACAAATTCGGAAATAATTGGCTTCTGCGCCAGCTATCGACTCGAGAAAAAAAACACATATACTACAATCATTTCTCGAAATTATGCTGCTGAGAAAAAAAATGGCCCGCAGGTTGACAAAAAGTTATTCGTCCTTTTGTGGCCGCGCGCGGTGTCAGCTCACGCTCCGAACCGTGTACGCTGTACGCGCTTGTGACGCGACGTCTTACGGTGGTCTGGAACCTGCGGGCCATTTTTTTTCTCAGCAGCATAATTTCGAAAAATGATTGGAGTATATGTGTTTTTTTTCTCGAGTCGATAGCTGGCGCAGAAGCTTATTATTTCCGAATTTGTTATAAAAAAAACAAAAAAAAATCGACCTAAATGAAAATTGTACAATTGAAAAAAATAACAAAGAATCTATGTTAAAACAAGATTCCAACGCTAGTTAAATCGTTGGAATCGGATAATTAGTTTAGCCATAATGATTTTTTTTTATTTTTTAATTACTAAAAACTTTTACTTTTAATATCATGAATATGTCAATTGAAAATTTTTTTTTTACAAAATCCTTTAGGATTTGTGTTAGTGATGTAAAATACTATCGAAAAAATGTATCTACAATCAAAAACTAATTTTGACCTAATTCAGGTGGCCCGTTTGAGAAATTCTGACCCATTTAAAAACTCATTTTACAAATAGACTGGATCATATTTTAAAAGCCTTTACGTCGAATTGAAAAAAGTTAAGTTTCTTTATTAAAAATCAAGTTTAAAATCACCTGAAGTTAAAATTTAAAACACAAATAAAACAAATGTTAACCAGGATGGTTTGGACGAATTAATTTTTGATATTTGGAATTTGTGAAATCAATGGCGTTAGTGACAATTTACGCGAATTTGAAATGTATTTATTTGAAAATCTTTTATTTATAATTTTTACGTTTTACATGTTACTGCTTTTATTTTGGGCTTTCTCTGCCGCCTCTTCAAATGAATAAATCGAATAAAATCGCTGGATACCTATTTACTGAAAACTGACCAAATACCATGAAATATTTCAATTCGGATTTAACGGAACTGTTAATTGCAAATTAATTTTAAAAATATTATGCCGGAAATTACAGAAATCTGACGTTATAGAACGGTACATCTGACCAACGGTTCTTAATTTTTCAAAATATTGGCGCCTCAATTAATGAGAAAATTACGTTAGTGCTAATTCTAACTGTAACACCTAATGGTCTAAATCCTGTACGCATAAATATTGCATATAAACAAGTCAAAGCTTTGTGCGCCAAACATGGTGAATTTCTATCTGGAACATCAAAGACATCAGCAGCGTCTTAATACATATGTATTTTCTCTTGGGCTTGGACAAAGTGATGTGCGGCAATGCATTGGTCAAATGCCTTATGGGTCTGTAGGTCTTAATATAGACCGTCAATGCCACACCACGGTCTCACAGACATGAACCCCACGACGTTAAATTTATAACTGGTAAACAAACAACACATGTACCGCTCGTCTTTTAAAACCGGATTCCAATTTCTCTGCACAAGACGAGATGTGCACCAACATCCATGTGTTTTCATATGCGTTGTTGCCTAAATAGCAAAATGTTTTACTTATATTTATTAGTTAAATTTTAAAAAGTTTCATAATTAAGTAACAAATTGGTACCTAAACCAAAAATTTTTAAAAATCCGAAATGTATACGTGGTCTTAATGTACTATGCTCCACACCTCAAAGTCCCACCACGTGACCACGTACGGAAAGCAGTCTTTTGAA